TCCAATTACATTCCCGAATTTTGATTAAGATTATCCCGGAAATTCTCTTATTTAAATTTTTCCCCCCCCCCCCCCATAGCCTAAATATTCATGAATCTATTTAGACCCTATTCAAAAAAAAAAAAAATGGTACTGTACTATCAAAATTTATAGGTTGAAATATAAGTTTTTGAATTTATTTGCAACAAAAAAATTTATAACTTTTGAAATTATATTACAATTTTTATGGTCCAAGGTATAACGTTTGTAATTGACCTCAAAAGCTATAATAATTCACAAATTTTGTAAAAAAAAAAACTCAGCAAAACTTGTAAATCTCCATACGGTAACGGTCCCTATCATGTATCTCTAAACATGACAACGAGCAGCTCTTCCAATGATTTTAGCTCCCTTGCGCAAAACTCATCACTGGCGGAGGCTTGGCAGCTCCCTAGTGGCTGGCTGTATTTCCTAAACATTGATCTGATGCTTCTTGGTTAGGTGTATTCATAATATAGTTTAAAGACTAATGCAATTTACACATAAATATCTGACTTAATTTGTTCATCGACTTAACCTTCTAACCCCAACTGTTAATATAATCTTTTATTGTCGTTCATATTAATAGTAAATCTTAGCTAGTATTAAAACTCATTATTAATGTATTAACCAGCATTAAATCTAATAATATGATGTTTTATCCACCAGTAATGTTAGACTGATCAAATTTTGGGACTAAATTTAGAGCTCAAATAACATGACAGTGGACTTAGACTTCTTTGATTGGTGTGATATCATTTGAACCCCAATAAAAATTTCAAATAATCAACTATCATATCATTTGAACTCCAAATTTAATCAATGTAACATTACTCTCCATTCCATCCACATAATTATGAGCGACATGGACTGGTCAACCGTAGGCGGTCAAGTGGCTAAGGAGGCCCACAAAAATTGGCGAACATCTTAGCACTGCTCCTGTTGTCGTGGCTCTGGAAAATTGACCAGCAAACTAGCACTAAAAATGTTCTTAGCCACTGAACATGGATAAGCAAGATAAGAGAACCTCCTAGTCCTAGTCCCCATCAAATATTATATATATCAACCCCTGCCGTCTAATCTTTCCAAAGTTTTTCTCTTGTAATTGGTTTAATTTTGTTATTCTTGTTTAGTTCATAACTAAAATGAGAATAATAGACTGGATTGTGTGTTGGCTAATAGGTTTTGCAGCATCGGGTACCACCACGTCATGGGCTGCCAAAGATCCATTCGAAGAGTATTATGTGCGCACCCAATGCGGGTATACCAGATTTCCAAGCCTGTGTGTTGATACATTGAAAGGGTTGGGGTTGGGTTCGGGTCATGGTCATCAGCACGTTGATCTTCTGTCTGCCCTCGTTAACAAGACCATGTTTGAGACCAAACAGATGCCCATTTCAAACTTTGCTAAACTCAGCTACCATTTTATATCCCTTGAAGCTCAACATGTTCGTATGGCCACAGGTGGGTAACCTAACACCTGCGTACGGGTTCCCCTGCATATTAAAACACATATGTTACTTACATCGCTCTCTAACAGTTTAATTTTTTTTTTAAGAGTAGATGCATGCTGTTCAACTCTCTACCTGACCCAATTTTTGCTGTCATTAATCACTTCATTTTGTGTTTGGAGGGTATTGTCATAAGGTCATGAAGATGTCACTCAAACGACTCACCCAAGCACTTGAAGCTCTCAAAGAATCTCCAAGGAAAAATAAGCAAGACATTCAGACATGGATAAGTGCTGTTTTGACGTTTCAGCAAGCTTGCAAAGATTCAGCTGATGCTCAAGCCCACTCTAACGTCTTCATGAGTCGGATTTCAGAGAAGATGACTCATTTGTCTCAGCTGTCCAGTAATTTATTAGCCTTCGTTAACCGAATTACCGGTGGTACACCAAAAAATAATTCCAATAGCCGCTACCCCGATGGTAAACAAGTTTTTACCAGCTGGGTGTCGACCGGTGCAGATCGAAAACTACTTCAGGCCACTACCATAAAAGCAAATGCAATAGTTGCAAAAGATGGTTCAGGCAATTATAAAACAATCTCGGAAGCCCTACAGGGTGCTTCTGGGGGTGCTCGGTTTGTGATATATGTGAAGTCAGGTGTGTACAATGAGAAAATTCACATAAATAAAGATGGAATCACCTTGATAGGAGATGGAAAATATTCCACTATAATTTCCGGTGATGATAGCGTCGCAGGGGGTGCATCTTTGCAAAGCTCCGCTACAGTTGGTCAGCACACACACTCTCTCTCTCTCTCTCTCTCTCTCGTTTCTTTTCTCTGTACGTAGAGTGCTGATTAATTTTTGTTTGTGTTCACCTAGCACACTGCTATATGATGTCATCAATAAAATAAAATATGAAAATTGTTATTTACACTTAATTTAAAAATATAATATAGGTAGCTAATATAACATAGTTATTAGATTGAAACTCAAAATTAATTTAATAGTTGAATTGAATTATTTCGATTTTTATATCATTGCTCATAAATTATTGTATATTCTCAATGAATGGCCTCCATATAGAGTAATTATATTGGAACATAAAAATATATAATGATTTAACAGTGATATAGTCCAATAGTATTGTTGTGGCGGCAGCTCTTGGATTTTTTTATTGGAACTTTATTACTTGACGAATTATTATGTCAACAAATTAAATTAAATTTTTATGTCACAATATCACTACTCCTGCCGTCTATTATTTTTGTCAAAATATTTTTGAAAAAGCCAACTTATATGTGTCCCACAAATTGGTTTTGTGGTAACTTGGTATTGGGTGTACACATCACGTAGCATTGTCACGTGGTGTTTAGTTTTAAACTTAGGCTAACTTTTTTTCCAAAATATTAAGTAATGCTAGGTGGACCTAGTTTGCTAAGATAATTTATTGGTTAATTACAATTTGCTCCATCCAACTATTCTTTTTGTTGCAATTAGCTCTCTATGGTTTTAAATATTTTAATTTGCCCCTCTGAGTTTTAAGCAGACTAAATTGATTGACAACATCAGTTGGAACATGAAGGTACCATTACACCCTTCATCTTATACATTATTTCTCATATTTTTTCTTGAGATATCAATTTTATTCCTAATAAATAAGAAAACAAAAAAAGTCAAGAAAAAGTGCATATGTTTAGCTCAGCACCAATAATACATTGCACAAAACTATGTTTGCCTTCATCTTCACCTCCACCTCAACTAAACACCAACACAAGTGTGCAAACATACACACTTTTTTGTAGGGGTGATTATATTTTTTCGACAAAATAGAGATCATGTGAATTTATTTTCTTTTACTTAAGTCATTTTTTATGGTCTAACATTAGCTACTGAAATTAATTGTAAAATATTCAAACTTAAAGGAGACTATTTGTTGAAATTAAAACTTGAAAGGGTGAAATACAAACCATCCAAAGTTGAAAGGAATATTTTATAATTAACCCTATTAAATAACTAGACACCAAAAACCTATTCGTTGTTTAGAATTACAATTTACTCCAGGTTTAGTATCAATCAAATGAACAAATTAAATTTGAATAAAACTATTGATACTCATTAATTAACGAATCTTTGGATCTATAGATCTACGTTTGTGTTCGCANGTTTAGTATCAATCAAATGAACAAATTAAATTTGAATAAAACTATTGATACTCATTAATTAACGAATCTTTGGATCTATAGATCTACGTTTGTGTTCGCATGTCTAAGATCAATATTGTTGGGTGATAAAAGTTACAAAAAGGAGTGAATGACAACATTAAAAAAGATATAAATCCAATCTAATGATAATATTCTATTCTATTAAATCACCCTATTTGATCCCAGTAGGCAATAGCATTTTCTTATCTATAATATGATTATTGCTTGGAATTTAGATATATATGTCAGATAATTACACAAACTACTTGTATTCTGAGGGTGTACATGATCCATATCGCTCAAATTAATTATAGATTATATATATACTCATCAAGTGCTAGTAGTGTAAGTGCTTATACAGCAAGACATGGAAGGAACTCATGAAATTACAAAACAATCTATTTGTTTTATGGGTACCTTGGTCCTTAGTCCTTAGTCCTTAGTCCTTACCTTGCTATGCTATGCTATGTTATCCTATCCTATTCTATCCTCCGACAAAACAATCTATTTGTTTTGTGCAGCAATTACAGGTGACGGATTCATAGCGAGAGATATCGGATTCCAAAACACAGCTGGACCTCAAGGAGAGCAAGCGGTGGCACTTATTGTCGCTTCAGACCATTCCGTCCTATATAGATGTAGCATCGTGGGCTACCAGGATACACTATATGCCCACACGCTCCGTCAATTCTACAGGGAGTGCGACATTTATGGAACTGTTGATTTCATCTTCGGAAATGCTGCAGCTGTTTTCCAAAACTGCAATCTAGTGCTTCGTAAGCCACACACTTCAAGTGCCTACAACGTAATCTTGGCAAATGGAAGGAGTGGCCCAGGACAGAACACTGGATTCTCCATTCAGAATTGCAAGATCACCACAGCCACAGATTTTTCTCCAGTCAAACACTCATACAATTCCTATCTTGGGAGGCCTTGGAAAGAGTATTCGAGATCAGTTGTAATGCAATCGACAATAGACGAGGCAATTGCACCGAGAGGTTGGGTGGAATGGCCGGGGTCTGGGAGTTCCATTCTGGGGACACTGTATTTCGCAGAATACTCTAATGTTGGGGTGGGTGCTGCAACTGCCAAGAGGGTACAGTGGTCGGGCTTCCATGTTATTGGAAAAGAAGAGGCTATCAAATATAGCGTCGGAAGTTTTATTGCAGGCACATCTTGGCTACCTTCCACTGGAGTAACTTTTATATCTGGTCTTGAGTAATTTATTTCCATAATACAACCATACTTATGATTTCATTAACACAATCAGATGAAGAATGAAGGTCTGCATCTCAAAACAGGGGATCATCACAATCACTTTCACAATACTACACAAGTGACGAAATTCTCCATGTGTACTGAATCATATAGTCATTTCCTTGCAAAATTAATGAACTATTAGGGTACTGAACCATTATCATACTACTTTCTTTTTATCCATATTTCATGTTCAGCCATTAAAGACCTGTGTTTGTGACACAGCTGTAAACAAGAAAAACATAAAGGCATCATTGTCCCTATGTATCTATAGAGAAAATGAAAAGAAAACTCTCAGAATTTGGTATTATTCAATTCATTGATTAGAACTTGTAATAATACATATGAAAATTTATAGAATTCTCAAACCAATAAAAGTTTCTAAAATAGACTTAAATCCCTAGTCTTAGGAAAGTTATTAAACACAAATAAAACATATGTCAAAAGAAATTATGAAAATTGACATGCTTTAGGTAGCAAAAATAGAAACATAAGAATTAGTAATTCTTCTTCTACACCAGACCTTCCCCCTTGGAAGAAAAAAACTCGTACTCAAGTTTATATTTGCTTGAAACAACATGATTCGTCTGCGATTCTCCTTTTTGAAAGTTTAATTTTCCTTGTCAAAAGAAATTCGGTCAACCCTTGGTCTTTTGTTTGACTAAGTGTAGGTATTTCATGCGAAACCCATATCCACTGATCATTGCTCATTTATGAATTCACCACAGCCTCCATTGGATGAGCATGTCAATTTTCATCGGAAGAAAACTTTACCAAGACATCGAAAGAAAAAAAAAATGCTGAGCAAAGGATTCTTGGATTGAACCCTCTATTCAATGGAAGAAAAGAATAAAAAAAAAAAAAAAGGCAACACCAGCTCATTGAACCCTCTATTCAGATGTCCATAAATTAAATTTTGAGCCTACAGGACAAGACACTTAAATGAAATTTGAAGTCAATATAACACCAATCAGGTTTGTTTACCGAGTGAAAATACACGAAGATAGGGTGATACTCAAAGTGAGACAATCCACAGCTGCTGAATCATGGGCTGTACGGCGTGCATGCAGGTTGGCCGTAGAAGAGCATTGCCAAGCTGTGATTATACAAACTGACTCAAAGACTCATTGACACCCTGTCAAATGGGCAAGCGAAACCGTTGGTAGAAGCGGAAACTATTCAGGATGATATTTGTAGGTACATGAAGAAGCTCCCTTCAATTCAGTTTAAAGCAGTCAAAAGGGAACTAAACCAATTGGCTGATCTGATAGCCTCACAAACCAGAAATGGCAATTTGCCTACTTACTGGAGTACTAACCTGCCTGTGAGCATCATGCAACTGGTGGATAAAGAAGCAAGAGATGGAGTTGGGTAGGATAATTATCTTAGCGTCTTCTCTGTCTTTATCCTTATGCTTTATGCTTTATGCTAAGTTTTTTTCTATGTAATGATGTAACACGACCAAAAAAAAAAAAAGAATATACCATCCAACCAAAAAGTCCATCCACATTTCCATGATGGTCCCCCCCCCTCCCCCTTCAAAGAAACATTTCCACGATGTCAAATAGCACAAATGAATCAAAAGGCACGATTTCATTTTCGACAATTATTTGATATATAAATTATTGCTGTTTTCCATATAATGCACTGCCTTAAACACTTGAAGATGAACATTGATGTTGAAGAAGCCAAAAAAAAAAAATGTTGAAGAAGCCAATGTCTAACTAATTATGCAGACTTAACGCTTACAATTAGAACAGTAGTGGTCCTTTAAAGGAGCTCCACAGTTGTAACAAAAACAATATCCACACCTGTGAACAACCAAAGGATGATATTAATTGTGAATCAGCACAGCATTTATAATAAAATCAAACACGCCATTATGTATAAATAAGATTTGAAATATTAGAATATATTCACAAACCAAGGACCAGTTAGCATGAGCTTGAAATTCATATGTAAAAAGGAGAAGAATGGAGAAAGCTAAAACAAAATAACCAAGATATATCACATCAGGTATATCAGGCCAGCTTCCAGTTCCAGCAACTGCATAAATGCTATCATTCTAGTTTACATCAGTGCCACTCCTCAAACAAAATAAAAGAATGCACTTGTAACAAGGCCAAGTCACAAAGTTTACCAAGAAAGGCAGGCTATATCCGCAAACATAAGTNGTTCCAAAACACAGCTGGACCTCAAGGAGAGCAAGCGGTGGCACTTATTGTCGCTTCAGACCATTCCGTCCTATATAGATGTAGCATCGTGGGCTACCAGGATACACTATATGCCCACACGCTCCGTCAATTCTACAGGGAGTGCGACATTTATGGAACTGTTGATTTCATCTTCGGAAATGCTGCAGCTGTTTTCCAAAACTGCAATCTAGTGCTTCGTAAGCCACACACTTCAAGTGCCTACAACGTAATCTTGGCAAATGGAAGGAGTGACCCAGGACAGAACACTGGATTCTCCATTCAGAATTGCAAGATCACCACAGCCACAGATTTTTCTCCAGTCAAACACTCATACAATTCCTATCTTGGGAGGCCTTGGAAAGAGTATTCGAGATCAGTTGTAATGCAATCGACAATAGACGAGGCAATTGCACCGAGAGGTTGGGTGGAATGGCCGGGGTCTGGGAGTTCCATTCTGGGGACACTGTATTTCGCAGAATACTCTAATGTTGGGGTGGGTGCTGCAACTGCCAAGAGGGTACAGTGGTCGGGCTTCCATGTTATTGGAAAAGAAGAGGCTATCAAATATAGCGTCGGAAGTTTTATTGCAGGCACATCTTGGCTACCTTCCACTGGAGTAACTTTTATATCTGGTCTTGAGTAATCTTATGATTTTATTAAATAATCAGATGAAGAATGAACATCTCAAAACAGGGGAAATTCTCCGTATGTGTACAGAATCATATATATAGTCATTTCATTTCCTTGCAAAGTTAATGAACTATTATTAGGGTTCTGAATCATTATCATACTACTTTTCTTTTTATTTTATCCATCCATATTTCATGTTCAGCTATTAAAAGACTTGTGTTTGAAACACAGCTGTAGAATAACATAAAAGCACCATTGTCCCTATGTATCTATCTNCTGAATCATATATATAGTCATTTCATTTCCTTGCAAAGTTAATGAACTATTATTAGGGTTCTGAATCATTATCATCCTACTTTTCTTTTTATTTTATCCATCCATATTTCATGTTCAGCTATTAAAAGACTTGTGTTTGAAACACAGCTGTAGAATAACATAAAAGCACCATTGTCCCTATGTATCTATCTATCTATCTGTCCCTATGTAACATAAAATTGGCATGCTTTAGCTAGCAAATCATTCTAAAATATTCAGATGTCCTAAAAAAAAAAACCAAGGCAACACCAGCTCATTGAACCCTCTATTCAGATGTCCATAAATTAAATTTTGAGCCTTCATGACAAGACACTTAAATGAAATTTGAAGTCAATATACCACCAATCAGGTTTGTTCACTGAGTGAAAATACACACGAGGATAGGGAGATACTCAAAGTGAGACAATCCACAGCTGCTGTGATTATATAAACTGACTCAAAGACTCTCATTGACTCCCTGTCAAATGGGCAAGTGAAACCGTTGGGGGAAGTGGAAAATATTCAGGATGATATTTGTGGGTATATGCAGAAGCTCCCTTCAATTCAATTTAAAGCAGTCAAGAGGGAACTACACCAATTGGCTGATCAGATAGCCTTACAAACCAGGAATGGCACTTTGCCTACTTACTGGAGTACTAACCTGCCTGTGAGGATCATGCAACTGGTGGATAAAGAAGCAAGAGATGGAGTTGGGTAGGATAATTGTCTTAGCGCCTTCTCTGTCTTTATCCTAATGCTTTATGTCTTCTGTTAAGTTTTTTTCTATGTAATGATGCAACACAACCAAAAAAAAAAAAAAAAGAATATACCATCGAACCAAAAAGTCCATTCACATTTCCATGATGTCCCC